TAAAGCGGATAGAAAGAAATGATTAGTTTATCTCAAAATCTTTCCCAGATGTACCATATGAAGCTTATAGAGCATAAAATGCTACACTTTATTGAAAGCATTAGATATGTCAAGAGCAATAGCCACCGCCACCGCTGTCTTATGCACAATAGAATCTTTTACTCATAGAACTCATAGAACAAGAAGATCAAAAACCATATTCTCACAGTAAGAGATGGGATGTTAGAAATTTGTTGATCAAAAACTCACACAACCTTTCTAATAGTAGAGAGAAAACTAATCTGACAATAGTTGGATGGGTCAGAATGTTATCCAGAGTTTTTAAAAAATGGAACCATATTTTCCATTTTCCAGCAAAACAAGAAATAGTTAAGCACTTATTAAATAGTTTATTATAATTAATATATAAAATCGTATTAGAGAGAATTGAAGAGTGTCTAAAGAAAACTTTTGTAAGACTATGACAGGAATGTTGTCTACCACCAGCCATAGAATAGTTTAATTGATATATGACTGTAGGAACAGAAGCTGAAGTAATTTAAATTTCTAACATTTTTTTAATCTCTTTAATTGTTTGAATAATGGAAGAAAGAGAAAGGCCATAAGATTCAAAAGTCGAACTTGGTAATGCAATTTTTTTTTAAACAACCTTTTTTTGGCAACTAGTTAATTGGATTGAACTTTTGCAGAAATCCTAAAATTTTACCCTATCAAAATAATCATTATCTTACTCTTTTTTAACATCTTTCATGTTTTAATCTTATTATATAGTTTTATTTTATATAGTTTATTCTGTTCTATTATTATCTATCAAAAAAATTTTATAATGACCACATCTTTATAATGACCACATCTTTATAATGACCATATTGATGAAAAATATTTTATAAGGAATTCTGAATGAAATTTTTTATAATAGATGAAGAAACTACATCTTTATATTTATTTAGATCTTTTATTTTCAGCTAAAATAATTTAAAAATAATAAGTCAAAAAGGTGGAGATTTGGTGGAGTTGATAGCTAAATATAACTTTCAATTTACAGTTTTTCATTCCATTTTAAAAAGGTTATTATGTTACTTATCTTAACTCAGTTAAAAAGGTTATTATGTTACTTATCTTAACTCAGTTAAAAAGGTTATTATGTTACTTATCTTAACTCAGTTAAAAAGGTTATTATGTTACTTATCTTAACTCAGTTAAAAAGGTTATTATGTTACTTATCTTAACTCAGTTAAAAAGGTTATTATGTTACTTATCTTAACTCAGTTAAAAAGGTTATTATGTTACTTATCTTAACTCAGTTAAATTAGGTTATTATGTTACTTAAGTTAGAATGTGCTATGATTAATGACAAAGTTTCCACTCTTTTTTCTTACAAATATTACTAGGTTGATACAAATCACATTAAGTGATTCGTATCAACCTTGTAATATTTGTGCATCACACAAAAATGAAGTTAAGTAAAAATGTTTATTTAAAATTTTTGTTAATATTTATATATCTATATATAAATATTGATAAAAATTGATTGAAAATCTTTAAAATCTTAGCGTGAAACCATGAAAATACACACATAATGTTGTTGTACATTTTTGCTGTGCAAGTATATGCACCGAAAAATATAAGTTTACATATTTATGATATATGTGTTCTTCGTCCTTGTTCTGTGTCCTTGATAATGATGTTAATTAACCTGGAAAGCAAACATGTATATGTTTAATTCATAGAAATAATTTTTATCATGGAGATTTATATATAGCATAAAGTAGTATGAATATATGAATAATAAATTGCTTTAAATAATTGGTTTGCAACATGTGTTATGTTTTGCTGTGTAACAAGATGTCATAAACCATGTCTCGGTTTTATTTAGTTAAAAGTTCCTAAAAAATATATATCTGTTATAATAAGTGTATTAAAAATGTTTTGTTATGCTATGTATTCTTGGTGTTCTATGCATGTATAACTATTATCCAATTGAACAAAAATAACTATTTATAATCAATAGGACATTGAAAATTATGTTTATCTAAGATGTGTCACATACCTATTATTTATTATGTCATTCGTACTTGGTTTCCTGTTAAAGGTGTGTTCATCAGAGGCATGGTGGGGAAGTTGCAATAATTGTAATAGCCCATGGTATAATAAATATTCACCTTAAATTTCAGAGTGTTAGCTTTAAAAATGACAAATAAATCTTTTCCTCTAAATTGAATCTGGGCTGTGAAGTGCATTCAAAGTTAGCATCTGCTAAGGTCATTTTCTTACTGCGATTCTATTCTCTTTCTCAAAAAGAGTGTTTTTTAAACTTTTTTGTCTGCAATCTCTTTTTACACTTAAAAATTTCAAAGGAACACCTGAACAATGGGTATGTGTAAAAAACATCTCAGAGTGAGAGGTAGCGAGTAGAAATCATTTACATTCAGAAGGAGTTGATTTTGAGTTTATTTGAACTGAAGCACAAATAATATGAATATGTCTGACAAATAACGCAATTTGCAAACCCAAATTTCATTGCAGAAGAGGTTTAAAAAACAGACTTTGTTTCTAAAAAAATCTTTACTTCAACCCTAAAATCAAAAATCAGTTATTTACAGCAAACAACTATCTTTACATTTCAACCCTATAAATCGTTTTAAAACTCGTTCCTTTGATAACCATCTTACTTCTGTATGTAGTATAAGCTGTTCATAATTTGCTCCTTACATAAATTTGCAAACAAATAACTATTACTGGTTCCATTTCTATTTTTTGGTTCTGTCTCAGCAAGATATTTTATCTACACTTTTCTTCTAGCTTTCCTTACTACCATTTATTCAAAATTTTATGGAATAATATTTAAAAATAAATTTCTAAAATTAGTAAAATGTTTATTATTTTTATTATTTATAATGGTAATTTATTGAAGTAAAAATTATTTTACTTTTTTTTTATATTGCTATATAAATCCATAGTAAATCAATACAATATTTGAAGCATAAATTGATCTGTCATCAGTTTTTCTGTGACCCCCCAAATATTTTTCCAAAAACCCTTTGATGGTTGTGACCCCCTCTTTGAAAACCACTGCTCTAAAATTCTCTGATTTCTTCCCTGCGTGCAATACTGTGGTCTTGTTGGCTGATTCTTTTAAAAATATCCTTTCTCTTTCTTATATATATCTTATATATTTTTGAGAAAAACATAAATTTGTTTCTTGTCTAATATTTAAAAAAAATGCATGTTTGTAAGTTCTTGGTTTTTGCTCGTGCCTCTTTGATATTGGGAAAAACCTCTTTCTGTTATCTTTTGTGGAATATATAAGCTTTAAAAATCAGTTTTTTAGTTATAAGGCTGGCTGGTAGTAAGATTAAATCGAACAATGTGGTAGCACTCAAAGAGGCTGATTCCGCCAACAGTTTTAAAACTTCAGAATATTAAAAATACCATGTTGTGCATGGATGGCTTTCCTGTTAGTACTTTTGGTGTGCATTATTGAGGCTACATAAAGAACTGTTTGTTACAACTTTGTATTGAATAATGTAAATTATTTATCTGCATAGCTTATTGCTCAGTGTGACAAGTAAGTATGTTTGACTCTCTCTAATAATTTATATGATTAGGATTTGATAACATTTTGGAGATAAGTTTGAGGAAGAGCTCTTTGATTTTTAGTTTTAACTTAATAATATTTTCTTATTTATTTGTCTTATCTGAAATAATATTCATGTGTGGGAGATAAAATGTTTGACTTGCTTTTGTTGTCAAATAAAAAATTTCAAAATTTTTTAGAATTATGACTTATTTTCCTTTCTTTACTTTCCTAATAGAATTTCAAATTTTGTATTTTATATTGTTTTAACATATGTTTTTTTGATGGGTTATAGATTTCAAAGAAAAAATTAATGAAATTAATAAATTCTTTTTTATTGTAGGTGCCAATATATTGTTAGATTTATATGGGAACTGTAAACTTGCTGATTTTGGTATATCAAAACAGATACAAGTAGATTTTCTGATTATTTTATTTATTTGCTTTTTTTAATAACTTTGCCTCTTTCAATGAAAAGTTTATATTATAATTTTTCTATTATATATTAAGTACATGTGCATTAGTGGATATATTAATGAATATATATATATATATATATATATATATATATATATATATATATATATATATATATATATATATATATATATATATATATATATATATATATATATATATATTGAATATATATATATATATATATATATAATGAATATATATATATATATATATATATATATATATATATATATATATATATATATATATATATATAGCGTGGAAAATAACAGCTAGTCAACAGGCTACAACTACCCAAAAAGACAAAAATTTCTATTTTGACTTCCCAAAACGAATTCTTGCTGGTCATGGTTGCCGGTTGAAAAAAGTTTAAGTTTTGAAAAACAAGATTTGACAAACAATCAGGATATAATTTTGAAAATGCATTTTCTACAATGATTTAAATTTATTTAAATTTTAAAAAGCGTTTTAAAAAGTTTTATTGTTTACGATCACTGATCTCTATAATAACTGGGTAGTGCATCTCTAATATGAGATGCACTATCCAGTTAATAAAAGTTAAAAACTTGGCGCCAAAATTGTCATACTGGAAAGCCCCAGAAGGCTGAATGGAATTTATGAGATTATACTGTTATACTTAAAGATTTTATGAGATTATACTGTTATTATAGAATAATAATAACTATTTATAAGGGTTAGGGAGGTATTTATAACATGATAACAGTTGTTACCATATTATAAATACCTCCCTAACCCTCTGTTAAAAAAAAGCTGTTATTTTAATGCTATTAGTGATTTTTATGAATCCTAATGAATCATATTTTTAGACAATTTGTTCACATGCAGGATGTAAAACATCAGCTGGAACACCTTACTGGATGAGTCCTGAAGTTATTACTGCAACTCTTCTAGATATTGAATATGGAAAAAAAGCTGATATATGGTATTTTTTTAATGTTTTAAATGTATAGTTAGATCATTTTATTTATTGGTTTTATTTCATTTATCCATTTATCAATTAGATTAGTGTACAATAACGATGTTAACTCCATTTTAAATTAAGTTTTTAAAAATTTCTTTTAATTTAAGTTTTTAATTTGATCAAAATTGATAAAGGTTACCAGACTTTTTATCAAGCTGTAAAGGTCCTCTCTTGACGTCAATAAGCCCTACTGTTGTAGAGCTACCTTGAAGTGTGTTTACCCAATGTATTGCTTTTTCAAAAATTTTATTAGGACGTTGTTTTGAGGGATGAAGCTAGATAGGAATTTACTCAATTTAGGTCAAATTAGATATGGTAATTCTGTTTAGTTTAGTTTACTGATAAAAGTAGTTTTAAATTATATGACTTTATTGCTGGAACAAGACACTAAATGTGAAGATATATTTGATATAATACATACATAAGTTTAGTAAAATGCATAAACTTGTATATATATATATATATATATATATATATATATATATATATATATATATATATATATATATATATATATATATATATATATATATATATATATACATATATATATATATATATATATATATATATATATATATATATATATATATATATATATTGAACACTATTGCTGACCGCGCAAATGATTTTTTTTGTTTACAACTTGACCATGACTGTTTAGATGTTTTGATGATTTCAGAACGTTTCAGAAATGCGCTGAAAAAAGAAACGCTAAGCTTAACTTAAACTAGGAGAAAAATTAAAAAAATAAAAGAATAAGCAAAGCAATTCCTTACAAAAACGAAAATAAAATTAAAAAAACTAGAAGTAAACAATATTTATAACATAAACAATTGAAAAAAATTACTTTAAAACTCATCTTTTACAACTTTTATTGACTGTTTAATAAATGAAAAAATTTTATTTAAATTGTTGAAAAGTTAAATTAAATTATTGAAAAGAAAAAAATATAATATTTTTAAGTTGTATAAACTTATTTTTTTTTGTAACATTTTTTTTCAAAATTTTGCAAAAAAAAAATGTTTAAAAAAATCATGTAGACTTTTTAAAATCGTAATTTTTAATCATTTCATGCTTTAATTTAGTAAGTCAAGTTTAAAAAAAAAACTTTTTTACAATTCTTTGTAAAAAAAGAAACAAAACAAAAAAAAGCAGTTGAATCTTGGAAAGAATTAATTTAGCATATTCATAATTTAAAGTGACTTAAAAAAATAATCTTTTGAAAGATATTTAGAAAAACATTGAAAAATAGTTTCAAACATTTAAATTTATCATAAAAAATATATATACCTACTAAAAAAAAATTTTAATATGACATTTAATTTACACCTAATACATTATGACATTTAATTTACATTTTAATACATTTATTTTAAACAATTATTGTAATTATTTTTTGATTGTAAAGTAAAAACTTTTAAAAAGACTAATAATTCAAAGTTATTCGTAATGTAACAATTTTTTTAGGCTGTGGTTATTGTTTCGACACCGAATCCCAAAGTAAAATGGCTATTCTTCCAACATATATGTGCAGTATTCATATGCATGTTTGCTAATTAAAAAATTTAGCAAAAATAATAAAATAAGATTTTTTTTGCTTTTTTTAAGCAAAGTCATTATTTGTACACGCGTACAAATTTGTTTATCTAAAAAACATACAATATTAAATTGAAACTGTTTTATTAAAAAATAAAAGTCTGCAATGAATAATACTCTATACTTAATTAGAAACTTCACTAGACTGATCTTAAATAAACTTAAAAACATAAAAGATTTTGATAACATAACTCAGTTTTGTTAAACTGTATAAATTATATTTTGAAAGTTTGATCAGACAATGTCCGACCCAAACAAGTTTGGATTGGACGTTTTGTCTGGGACTTTATAAAAAATTAAATTGAGCCCTGTATATTAAGCCACTGTCTAAACATACTTTTTTTTCCAAAGCATGTTGGCTCACTTTGGGATTTATGTAAGCCATAAATATAAATATAATTCCGAAAAAATTATACAATTTGGAGTTATAATCATTTTGGGAAATCATTTTAAAGTTTTCAATTATTTGTGTTTGTTTTTTTTTCAAACATTTAAATTAATTAAATATATAGCAAAATTATAAATATCTATGACGGAAACTTTTTGCAAGTCTTGCCTCATTTTCAAGATGTTTTATGAAAGCTCATTGGCTAATGTCACATAGAAACGAAGGTTTGTAAAAAGTTTACATTGCAGATGTTTATGAAAAGTTCGATTAAATATTAGTTCGAAACTAGAAAATCGGATTTTCTAGTTTTTAACTCGATTGTTAACAAAAAGTTCTTCAAAATTGTTGGATAACTCGATTGTTAACAAAAAGTTCTTCAAAATTGTTGGTGTTTAAAAATAGCTTGGACCAGGGTCTTTTTAGCATACTGGAACTTCAACGATTTTATAGACCTCACAATCAAAGTTACACCAAGTTTGATGTTGTATATATGTCAATCATCAGAGTCATAGAAAAAATTTTCAATATCAATAATATTGATATATTATATATTATAGTTTTGTATTGTATTCAATATATATTATATTTGCTTTAATACAACATTGTAAAATTACTCTGAGAAAAGTATACAATATTCTGACTTTTTCACATTTCTCTTGTTTTCTGCACTGCTTTGGTTTTTAGCCAGAATGAAGTTATGTCTCTTCACCCGTCCATAAACCTTTTTAGAAGCTTCAGATGTGAGTTTTACAGCTCTTTCCACGGACTGAGAATTGTTTGGCAAGTCAGTTAGAAAATGTTTATTGCCCGTTTAAATAGCTTGTTTTAATTTATTTGAAGAAACAAAAATTGAAGTGGGAGGTTCAATTTGTATTAAAGAAACTTCAATTAAGTCGGTCCAAACATCAGCATTGAAGTTCAAGGTCATAATTGTCTTAGCTTTGATTTTAAGTTTAAAATCTGGATTTCTTTTCCTAGACAACCTAATCTCCGAGATTTGATTGAGAACACGATCTCTTACAACTTTTTCATTGTCTAGCATCATAGCGTAAAGAAAATTTTCTTGACAGCAGCAATAGGTTACCCTGAAGATTTTTCAATACAATCTTTTCAATTCTGTCATCCTGTTTTTTGACTAACTGTATTGTTTTATGGAGGAGCTTTGGTGCATCTTTGTAATGCGCTGAACTTTTTACAGCAAACCACATTGGATAGTAGACCTGAACTATGTACTTTGTGATGCATTTTCTAATTTGACAACTAAACCATTATCTACGCCAGTGTTAGAACTTGTATTGTAAAGAACAATCGCTTCTAAGCTTTTAACACTATCATATTCAGAAAGCACATTTAATATTGCTAAAGCCATAGCACTACCTTAACTATTTTTTATTATCACATGCGTTAAATAATTTCCAGAGAAAGGATCGTTTTCTCAGGTAAAAGTGAGGTGATGTTCATCATTGGTGGTTCAATGAAAGTTAGTTCATCATTGGTGTTCATCATTGGTGGTTCAATGAAAATTAGTTCATGTGATGAAAATTTCATCACATGAACTAATTTTGTCTTTTTTGCTATCAACACCAATTACCTTTATTTCTAAAACCTCTTGACGATGCTTAGTGTCAGTTGATTTAGCCACTCGTGCTTTTTCACAAAATGTATTCTGTAATTATCTGAGATTTTTTTACTCTTACTTACTATTCCGTAGTCAATTAATACAGCTGTTACTATTGCAGCTGCTGCAGCATTGCTTACTTTGTATCTTATTGCAGCCTTGGCTAAATTAGTTAATTCGGTGTAATTTTTTTCACTAATTAATTGCTCCTCAAACTCTTCACTTTCAGTTGTATCTAAACTTGAAGGTTCAGCACTAAAATTACTAATCGTATCGACTTCTTATGTTTTTTGAAGATTTTTTTTGTCTAATTAGCTTTCTTGTGGCCTCATTTTCCTCTCTAATATACTTTTTGGCGTTTCTTGTTGCCTTCGCTTGGTCCACATTGCCTAACTGCCAACTTCCTATTGGTCCTATCTTGCATCTTTGGTCCTCTCTTTCCAGAACAGGGACCTAAAATAAGTCAAATTTTCTAAATTTGAAAGTATTTAAATTTAAAGTGAATAGAATGAATTAATTGTCAAATGATTAGTGATCAATAATCATTTTAACATAACTTCATAAAGGAGCAGCACTTTTTAAAATGACTTAAGGCTATTTTATTTTCCCTAACCTTACATATTTATTAATTTTAACTGTAAATGCCTATTAATATTAATATAAAAATGGCATGAATTACCTTTCTACTTTCCTCACAGAAACAAACTATGTGTTTTATTGTGCAATTACTTTTCCAACATCCAGTTCATCTAAACGTATATTATTTTACTATAAAATTAAAACAATATAGAAACCATTTATTGCATAGGCTTACATCCGTTAGTTTACGGTTGTAGGCCTTACTTTAATACCTTAGTAGAAGGCAGAAGGATGGGGTAGTAAATTTTCATCTATCTTTACAAAATATTTTTCACATAACATTAAAAAAAAGTTGTAATAAAAATCTTTAAAAGATATTTGTTTACCTATCATTACAATGGAAGATCGTACCGGCAAGCAGACACATCAAACAACGTTTCCAGTTGATTTTCTAGCCAACTTATACCAGACTTATAGTTTTTAGATTGAATTCCTTCTGCAGACAACACTTTTAGAAATCTTCTCGATATTTTATTTTTCAATGGTTTATCTTTTATCAGAGGTAGATTTGGATTGGCCCTACACCAAAGCTGTTGCAAGTCACTATTGACTTTTGTCACGATTGATACAGAGTCAATTTTCTGTCCATTAAATAATTCTTTCTCAATTCTGTAACCGTATTGAATGACCTGTTTGTAAGTTGGTAAATCGCTTATTGGTAAATCAGATGCTTTTCCAGCAAATCTTCCACTATTAATACGAGTTTTATTTAAAACT